TTCCTATGAGTCCTGAACACCTCATTTGGAAACATGGGTGTGAGTTTTGAACATCCTACTATCATTTTGGATAGTCACCTCATCTATATTTTAATAAACTTCCATCAGAGAATCATAAAGACCGTTTAACATCTGCTATAGATGTTATACATTGGCTTTTTATTGCTCAGTGTTGCCAGCCTTCCTGTAGGACTCAGTGTCTTCGGACATTGGTTGTGTATCTTATTGCGGGTGGCTGTGAAATGGGAAGAACCACTCTTCTTTTGAAACAAACTGTTGGAAACTTAATGCCAAATCATTTGAGGGGTGGGAGGAATGTTAGTGACTGTATTTGTCATCTACAGATAGAGAATTGCCTGACATGAGGGAACATAGTATTTGTTTTGTTGAGAGAATTGCTTTGCTGGAAATTTCCCAGGAGAAAGAGTTTTGTGGTCATATAATGAGAGATTCCCACCCCAGTAGCTCAGTTAAGTCAACCTTGTGGGGGAAGTCAGTGTGAGAGGCAGCTGTGGAGGGGTGTATGTCAGAGTGGATGTCTCAGGCTGGGTTTGACTTGAGCTCTGTGAGACCCAGGACTCTGGGTAATGTGAACTTGCTTTCTTATTTAAGTAGAAGATACATGTAATGTAATGCATTGTCTCATCTTAAGGATAGTTCCTTAAACGAGTGAAACTGGTGAATTTCTCTTCCTCTTTATTTTTTACATGTCCGACGTGAACCTTAGTGTGCTTATACTTTTTGGAAAGTAATGAAGACTTTTAATGGGGAATGATTTAAAAACATTTACAATAAATTATTTTTGCACCTGTGTTGTACTCACATTTGCTTCACAAGGGTCGACTCGCCAGGGCCATACTTTGGGCTGGCCTTCTCTTGTAGTAAATGGTGTTGGAAGTGATCTTTTTATTTCCCTCAGGGCACCTTCCTCTTACAGACTGAATTGGGTTGGGTTGGGTTCTTCTCTATTCCAGCAAGAGCAGAACCTCGCATTGGAGAGGGCCTGGGGCTAGAAGGAAGGGCCTGTTCCTGTCTGGAGACAATTCTTCTCTGCTGCTTTGGAAATCATCAAGATGCAAGAACCTTGTCTTGGGTTTTGACCACTTGCAAGTCATGGAGAGGACTTTCTCTAGTTTTGACTTATGGCCCAAATGCAATGGAAAGAATCAACCTTTGCTACTAAAGCATTTTGAGGTGTTTGGAAACAACGGCACTTGCCTATAGACTGTTCTGCTATAGGCAGTGAATTTATTGGTTATCGCACATTTTATGACAAGCATAGTACCTGGTGCACAGTAAAGCTTCAGCAAATATCTGCAAAGTAATTGAGGATTTGAGAAGAAAAACTACTTTTTCTTCTCAAAAGAAGTCCCTTAGATATGGACAGAATGTAGACAGCCCGATCAGCAGAACCCATTCCTGTCCCAACAAAGATTCTAGCCATGTGTCCAGTTCTGTTTTGCCTTTCA